CAGAAAAGGTTGGCAAAGCCCAGGGTGAGTTGCTCAGTATAGCAGCCCAAGGGAAGACCTGGACCTAAAGGTCCTTGTAACTAGCTTGAAACCTTCAGAGAGGCCACTAGGTAGGAGGGGAAGAACTGCATGAGACAGTTATGGGACAGAACACTGACCTCAGCAGCATCCTGACTGGAATCATGTAGGCGCAGCAACAGGGGCACCAGACTCTGCAGCACTAATTTCCGCAGTGGTCCCCGAAGCCCCATCCGGAGTCCCCGCTGGCCCCGCCGCACCAGTGTTCCAAGGAGTCCCACTGCTGAAGCACGGACCGAGTCCCGAGCCTTCATGCGTGTGAAAATACAGTCAGAGCTCAAGGAAGGGAGGGTGGGAGAGATCCGTACAGATTAAGGAAGGACGAGGCCTGGTCAGGGCTGCAGATTAGGCCTTAAGCTGGTGGCAGGTCCACAGGCAACTGGGTGGGGAATGTAGGCAGAGCCTGTGGGTAGGACTGAAGGAGAGCGTCTGTGGACAATTCCAAAGGCGACGACAGTGAGACCGTAGGGCAGGATTTTGCTCACATCATCCAGTAGCGGTGGAAGGCGTGGTCGCAGTTCAGAACTGAGGAGTCTCACGGGTGCTCTGGGCTGCAGCAATAGTCTCCGCAAGGCGCCAAGCGCAGCGCCCACGAGGCGCACATCACCTTCACCCAGTGCTCTTAAGAGGACCGGCAGCAATGTGTTCACGTGCCTTATCTGTAAAAACAGGACTCGTGGCTGGACCTTTCCAGATTCTACCTTGGACACATGTTGTCCAGCACTACCAGGTCAGCACCTTCCCACGATTCATTGCAAGGTGGTCAAGGCCAAGTAGGCCCAGCCAGCGTACGGTCGGCTCTGGGTCACCCTGCCAAGTTCGAAGGCGCTCCAGGATGACTTCTTCACGTAAGAGCTGTGCAGTGGGCTGGCTCTGCAACAGCTAAGCAAAGGGGCACAGAGTCAGCTTATCTCTGTGTCTGAGCAGGCAGCCACCCCTCACTATACCGTTCTGGGAAGCAGGCTCACCCCAGTAAAAAAGGCCATAGCTGTGAGGCGCTGTGGGTTGTTAGTGCTTCGTAACCGAGGGAGCAAGTCTGCAAAAAGGCCTCGCAGATGGTGATCAGCATGCGCCACCATGGCACTGGAGTAGGAGGAAAAGGATTTCTTCCTCCGATTGGAATGGCTCATCCCCACCACCTCCCCCATGCCACCATCACACCTGGCCAGCAGGGAGCCTCCTCCTGTTGTGCTGTCCTGGGGTGTCTCCTCACCTGGCCAGCAGCAGGACACCCTCCAGGTGCGTGTGGGCTCCTACCAGTCTCCTCCAGCCTCCTGCTTGCTCCATACATGTGACCACCATTCGGCCACCATCCCCTGTGAGCAGGGCCTTTAAGGCCTCCACAGTGCAGCTGGAGGTGCGAACAGTTGAGAAGTGGACAGTGAGTGCAAGAAAGGCCTGTCCCAACCCTCAGGTATCCCAGAGTACTTATTCTCACCTGGCGTGGCTGTGAGGTGGCCCTCGGTTAGAAGGCTCCCAAATCTTAGGGCTGTCAGGGGAATGAGCACCTTGAGCCAGCTCATGCAACTGTGTGACCAGTGCTAACAGCAGGTGAGGGTAGAAGCCTCTTGTGGCTCCCACGCAGCCAGAGACTGCCAACATCTCTCCAAGAGCGCGCGTGGCCTGCAGATCAAGTGAGCCCATCCTTGAAATTCTGCCAATTTTGGATGCGTACAGGACATCCCAGACAAGTGTGACTCCGGAGCTAATCTGTAGTCCTACCCCTAACAAGTCTACTCTTGGGCTGCTTGTGGCCAGGCCACGCCCCATGATGTCAGGCCACGCCCCATGATGCACTTGCTGAAGCCACTTACTGCCAGTGCCTCAGACTCGGGACCCGCCGCGCCCTTCAATGCCCACAGCAGTTGCACCAGCACCTGCCCGTTTACTCGCTGGTTCCGGCTTAGGCTTCGCCACAGTTCAGAGGCTGCCCTGGGGGTGAAGGGCCATGGAGTGAAGAAGAGCTGCACGTAATCCTCAGGAAAGCCCACCGCTACGACTCTAGGAAAAGGCTCCAGAAGTAAACCATCCTTTCCCCTTCCACCGACCCACATCCCAGAGAAAACAAATGCAGACGACAACAGAGCCAGCCGCAGAGATCAGCCGCCCTCTGGACTACACTGAGCCCTGTTGTGTCAGCTACTGGGAAACAGACCTAATATTATTATTTTTTTTAATTATTGTAAAGAATTAACCAAAAACAACTTTGGGGGTAAATGACCCGCAGAGTCAGAGGCTTCTATGTACTCAAGCCACCGTGCTTCTTATCCTGCCCACATCTTCAGGTAAAAAAAGCAGGTGCAGGGAGAGGGGGAGAGAGAGAGAGAGAGAGACAGAGAGACAGAGAGAGAGACAGAGAGAGAGACAGAGAGAGAGAGACAGAGAGAGGGAGAGAGAGAGAGGTGTTAGAGTTAAACTAAATCCAAGTATGATTTACACCAGCAAAAGGGGAGGGGATTTCTGAGGCCCTGTTCTCTTATTGCCCGGTGCTGCAGGAACCAGATTCTATGATCAAGCAATCAAGCGGGAAGGGGGAAGGAAGCCGCGTGGGGCAGCGCGGCTGGGCGGGGAGGGTTACCGGTCCGGGGGTAGTGAACTGGGTAGCAGCGCACACACCACGTCCTGCGCATGCTCAAGAGCCAGTGCGCTCAGCACTCGTAGGGCTGCCCTCCGGGGTCTCCCCTCTGCCAGGCTAGGCACCTGTGCCAGCAGCCCACGCACCAGACCGTGGACCTAGGTAAAAGGAACAAACACCAGTAGTCAGAGCCCCAGGACCTCGAAAGGAAACTCTTGCCAGGACCTCACCCACCTACCACTCAGTAAGAGGAAGCCTTTGGGGGGGTGTGGTCGAGGTTGATCTCCTCCCACCCTGAAGAGAGGCTTGCAGCCTTCTCAGGATAGGGGTGGGGATGCTAACCTGGTCCTCCAGCCGCTGCCCCCGGGCTTCCAGGGCTGAGGACAGTGTGAGCGCTGTTGCCTGGGTCCCGGCATAGCCAGCCTCCTCCAGACACGCAGCTGTATACAGCGCGAGGTCTGCAAGGGTTCCTTCTTCCCAGGAATACTGGAAGGCCTATGAAGAAATAGTGAAACATGGAGTTTCTGAAGTCCCCAAGCCAATTCATCCATCATCCCTATTCTCTCAGTCTTTCCATCGTCAGACTGCGACAAACCTTCCTCCTCCATGATCTTTTCATCTGTTTACCCTCAGTACTCCCCAAAGCCCTCACATCCTCCCCACCCACGCCGCACACCTGTATCTCGTCTTTCTACCGCCCAAGTGAACAGCCAAACCTTGCGTCGTCCAGCATCCGCCCTCTTACTCACCTGGTATGGTCTCTCGGGGGTTGGCTCCTGGGCATCGTGTGGGGAACAGATCTCACTATCAGCTGTGGGGACAACCACTTCATTCCCAGGCTGGGCCTCAGAGGCAGGGGTGAGTGTTTGAATATAGGGCTCAGCCTCGGGTCCAAGCTCCTGGGGCTCAGCCTGAGGGCCTGGAGAAGAGGGTCCCACAGGCTGCCCCTGGTTAGCCCGGATTCCTTCAGCTAGAGCTGTCAGAGTTAAGGAGCCCACAGGGCCATCCCGGCCCCGACCCCACACACCCCCAGCCATAATGTTCCTACCAGCGGCACCTGTCACCACTCTTCCAGTGAAGTTGTATCCAGACCTGACCTAGAATCAGGCCCCAGGTGGAACGACAGGCGGGCCTACAGACAGGCGTGGTGGCGTGGGCATATACGCGCATGCGTGTCTGAGCATGTGCTAGTGGTTGGCTGTTCAGTCACAGAGATACCTAGGATGGGCTTGTGAAGAGTTTCTGCCCAGGCTGCTAGAGGCAATGGAACGGCCACTGCGTAGTCTGGTTCAGCCCACCAGTGCCCATGGAGACAGTGGACTATGGAGAAGAGGAAGGTCTTTAACCCAACTGCCTGTCCCCCTCTTGCCTGGGGGAGGGGTCCAGGGCAGCTTCAGATCATTCTGAGGAAGCCTCAGCAGGATCAGGGGCTGGGGCTAGACCACATAGCCAGATATCCTAGGAATGGGTGTTGGCGGATACTGTCATCATCCCTGAATTTGAAATACTTTGGGTGTAGAGCAAACGAGGTGAGGCAGGTGATGCCTCCTAAGTATGTTTGCAAGTGCCCACTATTGTTGATGTGGGCTCCTCTGCATCCTTGCCACTCCTGAGGTGGTATGTCTCATCCCCTGTATGTCCAGCCCCTTCTTCTCTGAGACTGTTTTCTCTGCGTCTGCGTAGGCAATGTGTATGTATTCTGTATACCCAGTTGTATCCTTTTCCAGGTTCATGCTCCCCAGGGCTGGCCCAACCTCTACCCTAAATCCCCACCCTCCACCCAACCACACTATAGGCACTGCCCAGCACCAAGCCCGGGGACCTGGATGAACTAGTCTGACAGACTACTTGGGCAGGCAGAAATGCATGGGGAAGTATTCCAAGCAGCGGGCATTCACCCTCTTCAGCTCCTGTACCTCAGACTACCTAAGCCCTAACTCTGCCTCCTGCCAGGAGCATCCTGTGGTGGTTTGAATAAGAATGGCCCCCATAGGCTCGTGCATTTGAATGCTTAGTCAGCGGGGGAACGGCACCGTTTGAAGATCAGGACCAGGAGGTGTGGCCTTGTTGAAGGAAGTGTGTCACAGGGGGTAAGCTTTGAGGTTTCAAAAGTTCAGGCCAAGGCTAAGGTCTCTTTCAGTATGTAGAACTCTCCCCATGTCACTATCACCATGACGGCAAGTATGCCACCATTGTCCCCACCATGATGATCATGAACTAACCTCTAAAACTGTAAGAAAGCCCCCAAATAAATGCTTCCTTTGACAAGAGTTGCCATGGTCATGGGGTCTCTTTACAATAGTAGAGTGCCCAAGGCACTCCGACTCTCCTCCTGAGCAGTTCTCTGGAGAGTCGCCTAGCTTGCTGTGCCAAGCAGCTCCAGCTCTCACTGAGGCAGCTCCCTGGATCCTCAGCTTATGAAATCTCCTCCTTCCTTGGTGACTGGGTCAGAAACTGAGACCCCCAAAGCCAAACTGGCCTATAACTGATGATAGATCAGGCAGGGCTGGCTTGGGAAGCCTGAGATAGGCCCATTGCCCTTAGCAGATATGAGTCCCTGGGGCTATGATTAGACTCTGACCTTACCCCATCTCAACCTTAGAACCTCCCTATCTGCTTCTAGTAGTAGGTGAGGGCTTTCAAAATAACGTCCTCAAAACAGAGATAAAGATAAACCCTCCCCCTCTGTCTCGTGGCTCTGAGGTTCCATTCAGACCCGGTTCCCACAGCCCAGCCCAGTGGCTAACTTCCCACATGCAGGGTTTTAAGTTTCAAACCCGAGAGCAAGCTGCTGAGGTGCCTATTTAACATATCAAAGCAGACCTGGATTCCAGCTCTCCCAGCATCCCCCAGTCTCTACCTGTTACAGGGTATGGCTTGACAGATCCCACCCTCTATCAGGAACTAACTCTGCAGCCCAGGGCCTGGCTTGCCCTTCTCACAAAGGCGTTTCCTTATATAGTCCAGATATTTTGGTCACCCGCTCTCCTTTTGTACCTTTGGCCGCCTGATGCTGTATTTCCTGTGCTCCCCCTCTCATCTCCCCACATGGTTCGGAGTCACGACCACTCTGGACTCTCCCAGATGTCTGGCTATGCTCTCCTATATATCTATAATAAACTTCTCCACCGTACCTGGGGCAGTCAGGTCCTTTCCTTTCCTTCTTATTTCTTTTTTTCATTCACTGGGTCTGTACTTCCTCATACTCCTAACCCAGCCTAGCCCTGGAAGTCCCAAGTGAGTAGCAGAAATCTGTGAACTAAGGACACATGGCTGACAAGTTGTGGGAACAGAGTCATGTTATTTGTGATTTTTTTCACAGGGGACCTCGAGCACTCAGACTGTTCACCAGTGCCCGAAGCTTCTCCGACAACGCGACCTGCAGAGAGAAGAAGGGGATATGGGCAGGCGGAGCTGGGAAGCAAGGCAGGGGACACATAGGACAGGCCACCTATAGGCCTACCGTATACACTGCTGGACTCTGCAGCTGCTTATGTGCAGGGTGGAGGCGGCTCAGGGACTGCTGGGCAATGGTTCTGGATTCATCCAGAGATGGAAGTGGCTCACACAGCTGCAGGGGAGGAGGAAGAGGAGGTAGAGATGCTGGCTTCGGATCAGTGCTCAGCCGAAGTGAAGGCACAGGTGAAGGGCAGTCACCTGTCCCTGCTGCAGGTAGAGTCGCAGCAATGGCTCCACTTGGGCTGGCTTCACAGTGCAGGGTTCCTGGGCCCCCCGAGGCCAAACCCTCAGTTCCTGCCCAGCCTTGGGTGGGGGCTCTTCTGCCAACTGTAGTAGGTCCAGTAGCAAAGACCCTGTGTAAGAGGCAAGGAACATGTCAGAGAGGGTAGGGAGACTTGAAGAAGGACAAAGGAGAGGGAAAGGGAAATCACCATCGGGGCCTAGGAACCGGAAGGCCGCCTTGCTCCCTGGCAGGGTTTGCTTCTCAGGGTCCTCCGTCAGTTTTATTCGAGGCTGGCCTCCCACAGACACTAGCTGCAATGAGAGGGTGTTTGGATAGCTGCACCCCTGTCCCCTACCACTTGCGATCTTCCAGACTTGTCCCACCTGGGGCCAAACATTGTCTTTACCTTGTAGACACAGCCCATAGAAGGCTGTTTGGGACAAGTGACCACATTGGTGCCAATGCCAATGACATTCACCTCACTGCCCTGTGGGGGGAGAAGTGACAATGACACTGAGCCATGCTGCCACCTGTAGGGTGCCAGGGCCTTCTAGATGATCCACCACCTGTCCCTCTTCCACTCTACCTTCTGGGCTAGCCTCATCAGCTCCTTCTCGTCAACGTTGTTGCTGACTACAATGGGAACAGTCTCTAGCCAGGGCACCTGGAACCTGCACGCAACGCATTCACAGGGGCACCCCTCAGATGCTCACGATTTACTGTGGCCTCTCTCCTCCCTCCCTCCCTCCCCCCCCCCTCCCCCCCTCCTCCCTTCCTCCCTCCCTCCATCTCTGTTAGCCATGCCTTTATCCACCCTTGGCTTAGGAGCACCTGGTGATCCTACCCCACTCCTACTCCTCCCTCCCTTCCAGGGCTTGCTTAGTTGCCCCTGAAAAAGGCCCCATGGTCTCACTATAGGAGAGACCTTCCTTGTTCCATCTCTCTGGGACTCACTCTCCCAGGAAGTTTCTAGCAGGCACACCTTCCCCCCCGCCCCCCCGTGGGGAACTCACTGAGCACCGACAGTCCGAAAGATCCCACGGATCTCCTTAGCCTGCTGAAGCAGGTCACCGCTGTCCAGTCTCACACCCACTGCCCTGTAGCCCAGCTCCCCCAGCGCCAGGGCTACTGCCAGGAAGTTAGGAAGACCACTCCTGCACGTAAAACAAGGGGGATCAGGGGCTCAGTTGCTCTACCAAGGCCACCCTGATAGAATGCTCACAGCTCACCTTCGTACACTGTAGGAATCCAGCAGGCCCTGGAAAGCCCGGGGAAAGGCCAGAGCGTAAGCCACAAATGCTGCACGTTCCCCTGCATGTGGTTCCTGCTCCTCTAGCCCCAAGTAGATGCACACGCGATTCAGCCAGGAATTTACTCGGGCAGGCAGGTCTACTGCGGGGCCCTCACTAGAAGCTGGAGCCAACATCTGTAGAAAGAGATCGGTAAAAGATGGTTCCAGAGTTCATTGTGAAGCCTAGGAGTGCCAAGTATGTCATGGCCTCAGGGCAAAGGTGATGCCATTCAATGCCAGCTTTCTAGTGCAGCCTTGGATCAAGTGCCCAGGCCAGTATCTACCAGTACATATGGCCCAGCTTACCCTAGGGCCCAGCCCACTCTAGCTTTAGGATCCTGTCTTCTAAAGCGGGCCCAGCATGGAAGGACACACTGAGACAGAAGCAGAAGGAGAGGGATTTCAAGCCCAACTTGGGCTACATGGGACCCTGACACAAAACAAAACAGTACTAACCGGGTCAGGGGGTACCTCACTACCCGAAAATGAAGTGACAAAGGAGTGGGCCAGGGTCCCTGCCACTGGTACACCTCTCAGTTGTCCAGCAAGTGTGTTGCTGCTGCTGTCAAACCCTGGGTGAGAAGGCAGGTAGGTTTAGGAGACTCCCGATATGAGATATGAGGGTACCTCCCCTTCTCCAACCTATGGCTCTTCCAGGCCTCACCACCCAGGTAGCTGTAAATTGAGGCCGTGAAGCCCCCATCGGGACCCTGAGCTCGCCGCAAGCCCATCTCTAGTAGTTTCTTATCCGGCCCTGCAATCAAGCGAAGCCGAGCAGCATTGGTGGCTACGAGGCTGTGGAGAGTAACAAGCCAGGAGAACTCAGGTGAGGGTCACAAAGCTACCCCAGTGGGAACACTTAGATAGTCCCAGCGCTCCTATTGCCTGTACCTCTCAGGGACTCCGCTCACCTAGCGTAGCTGACCAGATACAGCAGCGGAGTCTCCAGCAGCTGTACCAGAAGAAGAGGCCCGGACACTTGCAGAAGCGGCACCTGTGGGGCGAGTGATCAGCTCCACAGTGGGACCTCCTGGACCACCCCACTCTTCTTACACACCCAGCTCACAGAGCACTCACACCAGGGAAGGCGAGGGAACCCTCTGGCAGAGCCCGCACCGTCACCCCAGAGCAGTCAAGGGCTCGAAGGTGCTCGAAGAATGCAGGGTCAGTGTCTTGGGGTAGCACTGATGCCAGGAACTGCACGTCTGGAGCGATAGAGAACACATGTAGTCTGGTGGAGGACTCGGCCAAGCAAGTACAAGTGCCCTCAGAGGTCAGGGGCGCATGGAGAGGGCACGGGAGATTTGTTCCTGAGGGAGCGGGGGTTCTCTTCCAATCAGAGGAATACCGGAGCCAATCTCAGAACTACCTGCATCCCGCAGACGGAAGGCGCGAAGAAAGCGCATACAGTCCTGCAGGCCAGCGGTCAGGGCGAAGGAGCCTCCGAAAGGGCAGTGGCGGAAGAAGAGCTCGAACTCTGCTGCCTCGCATGCCCGGCCCGCACGCCAGTAGCCCAGCGCCATGGTAGCCTGATAGAGGTCGGTGAGCAGCGGCCGCACTACCAGGCGCCCCTCGCCGTCCAGCTCCATCTCCATTCCGCAGGGTACACAGGCTCCGGGTTAATGGCGCCCTACTCCACCCGCTAGGGCACTGATCCAGCGGACCGACTCACGCGGAAGGAGGGCCTTTCCCGGCAAAAGTAGGCGGGGCGAGCCGCCTATACTGCTAGTTGCAGGGACTCAAACCCACAAGATAGGAGACTGGCACACCCCCACCCCAGTCTCCTGGACTCCAGCGAGCGGCTTGCCCCTGTGAATGGCTCTTAGAGGTTTTGGAGCTCAACTAGAGGCACTAAAAGCAAACAATTTAAAACAGGGCTGGAGTGCTTGATCAGGTTGTACTTTACCCTGGCCTCTTGACCCCGACCTGGGAGGAGCAAACCAGGCTATATTACAGCTGTGAGCAGCTATAGGGAAAACCAAGAGCCCCTAGAGGTCAGTGCTGCCTTTCAGGTGTGAGGGGAACCCGAGCACTGGCATGGGGCAGGGGAGGGGGGTGGGGGTGGGATGATGATGATGTCTGTTCAACCCAGCAGCCAGGCTTGTGAGTCAATGTCCTAGGACAGTTTATACTGAGCATGGTGGTGGTAAATGTCTTCAACCCCAGCATTGGGAAGGCAGAGGCAGGTGGTTCTCTAAACAGCCAAGGATATACAGCAAAATTTATTCTCAAAAACAAAAAGTATATGTGTTTTTGTACTACAGGCAGATGTATGCCCAGAGGCCAGAAGAGGGCATCAGATATCCTGGAACTGAAGTTAGATTACAGCTGGTTAGAATATGGACAGCCAGCTGTATTGTGTGGAATTTGCCTGCCCGTTCCCCTAAAATCCCCGTCAGTGCTTGGGTGTCGGTGGTTTTGGGAATATAGTGCTGGTGAAATCCTGTGGCCACCTAAGTTGAGACGGTGTACCAAGTGTGGCTGCTTCCTGTGTGTGACATAGTCTAACCATCCCAGAATATAGAGGATGTGATGCTCCTCTCCAAAGGTGAGGCGAGTGAAGAGGAGTGCTAGGTTGGACATAGGTGTACTCCAAATGGCCACAACGGCAGGGACAGGAGACACATGGTGGACAAATGTGGACCCAATAGATTCTGTTTCTGGCCCAAACAGCTTGAACACAAGAGGCAAGAGGTGGGCAGGTATGAGACACGTGTGGGCCAGAGCCCGGCAGAGCACTGAACACCAAGTAACCACAAGAGCCAAAGTGCGGAGTCTCAGTCTTTAATCTCAGCAGGTCCTCACACACATCAAACCACACTCTCCACTTTCAGATCTTGTTGAAAGCTGCGATGTCGACACTCTGCACCTGTGGATGGAGACGAAGGGTGTCCTTGCAGACTGCCTGGCCGAGGCAGGCTTATGCTCCTCAGGGGAGTTTGAGGTACCGTTCCTATGGATGTGGGGCGCAGGAGCCAGTGTCCCAGGTCCACCCGGTCTCCCTACCCTTGTGCCCATGCCCACTTACATGCTCCTCAAACTTGGTGATCTCCTCCTCAAGCAGGTCGGTGCCCACTTTGTCATCCTCCACCACACACTGGATCTGCAGCTTCCGGATACCATAGCCAACGGGCACGAGCTTGGAGGCCCCCCAAACCAGCCCATCCAATTGGATGGAACGCACACAAGTCTCTAGCTGGGCCATGTCAGTCTCATCATCCCACTGTGAGAGAATGTGGGGGGTGGCTGAGTGAGCCATCTCAGAAACCTCTAGAACACTGCGGGGGAAACACCCACGACCCCCTCCCTTGAACTACGGGACACACTTTTGTTTCTTTATAGAGCCCTTAGAACCAGTCCCAGGTTTACATGTCCCACTCCACATTTCTGTTCTCATGTCAGCATCTTTAACTTCCACTAAGACCCAGGAGGATGTGCAGAGGCTGAGCCTATGCTCCAGCCACTCAACTCCCCACCCTCCATCTCTAGCTGTAAAGTTCTGTTCCTAGCCTCCCAGAGGTTTATCACCCTACCACTCACAGGTTTAACATCCAAGAGGATGGAGGATTTGGCCACCAGCGTAGGCTTCTTGGCCTTCTTCTCTGCGTACTGGCGTAGCCTCTCCTCCCGTAGTCGGGCAGCCTCCTTATCTTCTTCTTCCTCGTCACTGCCGAACAAGTCAATGTCATTGTCCTCATCGTCCTCTGCTGGTGTGGCTCCTTTCTTGGTTGGGGGCTCCACTTGACGCATAGGAGAGACATGCTGCCACAGAAGAAGGGAGGGAGGCTGAGACTCATCGGACCTCCACAGTCCAGCTAACTGCAGGAAAGCCAGCCCTCGGAGACCTTCTCAGACCTCAGCCTGCCCTGAGGGTCAGTCTTGCCTGGGACAGTCAGTAGGTAGGGACAGAAGCCAGGACAGGTCCAAGGCTCCTTCCCAAGTGGGAAGACTCACTTGGGTCTGTGGGGCTGTGGCTCGGTGAGTAGGTGAACTCTTCTCCAGAGTGCTCAGCCGGGCCTCCAACTTGGAAATGGCCTGCTGCAAATCTTGGACAACTGTGGGCACAAGGGGGACACCAGTCAGATAGCAGAGGCTGGAGCTGGAGCCCCACCTGTCAGGTGCAAGCCCTCACCGCCTCGAAGGTTCTGGTTCTCCACTTCCAGACTGGCAATCCGCACAATGAGCTCACTGTGGTCTCCACCAGGTCCACTGGAGGCTCCAGGGCCTGAGCTCTGTAACGGAGGAAGACGCTGCTCTTAGCCCTTTAGCCTGCTTCTAGGGTCCCCTTACAGCCACTCAGAAGCAGAGCCCAGACTAAGTTGAAAGTCTGGCAAAGGCTCAGTCGGTCTTAATGGGTACCCTGCAGTATTTGGTCAAGGAAGAAGCAATACAGGAAGGTAAGGGACCACAAGACATTCTTCCTGCTTAGGGTGAGCAGTGAAGACCTGCTGTCTTCAAGAATGGCTGTACACTGTGACCATCTCAGCCAAGCAGAGTGTATAGGACAGGGGAGCCAAATAGAGAAAGCAACAGGACTTACAGTCCTAGGGGTGGCCTGGCCCAGGGCCTCAGGGGAGTTGGGCAGCATCACCTTGAGCTAGAAACAGGAGGGAAAGCAGTTGAGGGGCTAGAAGGAAGGAGTATGCACATGGTGCCAGCACCTGTGATCTTACTCCTGAGGTGGCCCCAGAAGGCTCAGGAGGGCACAGGGCAGGCTCCCCTTGCAGGAAGACCAGGCTTCTGCTTCATGCTCTCAGATGTTAGCTCCACTCACAGGTAGGAAAGTTACTGGTTCTGAAAGCATAGGTACATGCAAGTCCCAGCCCAGCAGGCTCTGCTAGGACTTCCTCTGGGGGGCAGCCAAGCACTCTTACTATTTGCCAGACAGAATCTGCTCCATAGAAGAGGTAACAGACAGACAGCAAACAGAGGCCTTCACCCTAGTGACCCAGTAAGGCAGCATTTGGGCTGACAGTAAAGATAACCTTGTTTGTTTGTTTTGTTTTTTTCAAGACAGGGTTTCTCTGTGTAATAATAACCCTGGCTGTCCTGGACTCCCAGTAGACCAAGCTGGCCTTGAACTCAGAGAATTGCCTGCTTTTGTCTCCCAAGTGCTGGGATTAAAGGCATTTGCCACCACTGCCTGGCTAAGTTTTTTTTTTTTTTTT